AAAAATTCTCTCTTTCTACAATTAGTTATTTTATATAATGTTTTATATATCAATGGATACTAATGCCTTTTATTTATAAAAATAATCAGTGATAAATTTCTTGCATCCTAACCTTTCAGGTGACAATTGCCATCTATAAAACAACAAATTTACATACAAAAAGATAAGTATGTAGAACTGCATTAATTAATAAAAAGTAAATAGTTAATATTTCTATAAAACACAGTAAATGGAAAATTCGAACTCTAATCTGAATACAGTTGAAAATAATTAAATGCAGTTTTCCGCAATTCAAATGAATAAACATTCCAATTTTCCAGTGGGCTAATTTCCTGTAGTGTCTGAGGCTATCATTTTAAAAACCTATAAAAGGATTATAAAGAAACACAAAATATATTCTGAACATAAATATTTCCTTTCACAATCAATATGAAATTAAATAGTATTTATGCTTCGTAAATTAAATATTATTTATATTGTAAATATTGTATTCAATTGCAGTACAAATCATGCGATTTTATTTCATATTAATCATATGATTGTTAAATGTAAAATTATTTAGTATATGCTTTGAAATCTGAAGAACTGTTAATGAAAAAATATATTGTTACAAAACCACTGAAAGCTGCTAAAAAAATCATTTTTTGGTTTTCCACTGTTGATTTAGATAAGACACTATTCAACAGAATCTACATTAAATTTCATTTTCTCAGCTAAAATAAAATCAGCAGTACAAAATATCTCCTGGTCTACATTTCTTAGTAGCTATGAATTTAAAAAAAAATATTTTATATTTTTTTACATTTAGATTTCGCAAAGAATGAAAATAATATGAAATATATTGTTTATAAAATCTAGGGGGGAAAAAAAGAACTTTTAACATTCTGATTCAAGTACCTATAATTTTTTTAATTGATAACTTGTGTGTTATACATTAAGTAATTCATTTTTTTTTATATATATATATTTTAAAATTCATGATGATAGAACTCTTCACAGTATACTATAATAATTTTTACTTCAGAAGACTATAATATTAGGCCAAAACTGTAATTGTAAAAATATATTTTATTCTTCCTTTTATGATAAAAAAAATTATTTTAACATGGCACTTAAGAGTAAACAATTTTTGCTTAGTAATTTACAAATTAAGTTTTTTAAAATGATATTAGTAAATGACATATTAATAGGGGTTATTGTTCCTTCTCTCTATTTTCATGCATGTAAAATCTCGGTATATTTCCAAGGTGTTTAAAACAAAGAAAAGTTTTACACAATTAACTAATATGAGGGAAAATAAGCATATTATTGAAAACAAACCATTTTAAACTTTCATTAAATGTTAATAAAAATAGAATTAGCATAGCAACAAAGAATAAATAATCTTGATAGTATAAAGCAAACGTCTAATAGTTCTGTTCTATTTACTCAAATGAATTTGGAAAAATGCAAATTTGAGCTTATATGATATATAATAGGGTTCAAAATAATAAAAAAATTTTAGTCATGGCTGTGATATTTTACATGGGTTAAATATACCATAGACAATACCTATACATTTACATCTTTCTTTAAAAAAATGGATATACTGTTGATTAAACATATATAAATTATATTCCTTACTATTTATAAGTGGAAAGCTTTATATTCCTTCTTGTTAATAGAATATTTACTGATTATTGTTTCAACTCCATTTATAATCGTATCATCTTGATAGTGGCTAGGAATGACATATAATGCTCTAAGAGTATGTGTTATTCAAAAAAGTCACCTTTAAGATATTGTAAATGCATTAGATTTTTGCTGTTTTCCTAATTTACTTAGTTTTCAAACTACTTTTGTACATAAGTGCACTTTTTTTAAAAATTTGCTTCTGTGCTGTTTGACATTTACCGATTGATGTACAAGAATGTTATGATATTCAGTTTTGTTGCTGCAGCTAATATGCAAATCACATCTTGAATAAAGTTTTTGTATTTTGTCATCTTTCTTTTTGATGAGAATGAATTAGAGACATATAGAATTTCTGTAAAGTGAATGGTATTTTAGGCCAATTGTACTTCTGATAAGTCCTTTTTACATTCTTTTTGTCTTCGCCTTGTGTTCATCCATTTCCTGTAATATTTGTTTTTTATATACATACGTACCAATAGTGAATTATAATATATTTTATATACATATTTTTAGATAATGCCATTAATATATAATCACCAAAAATCTGAAACAAATGAAAAAGTATAGAAGAGGATGACAGTAAAGACATACAATCCAAACTTTCAAAAATTATGAAAACATGATACGGATATTAAGGGTAATACTATATTGTTTTAGAAGCCATTTTTTTTTTATGCAAGATCAAGATGAGTTATTTCCAAGTAGAATGAATTTTTATTAATAAACATTACTTTTTACAAAACACTTTTATGGGAAAAGTCTTTGAAGTGTTTAAAGAGACTTTTTCAAATGATCGTAAATTAGACAACACAATTAGATTTTTCTTGGCAACCCGAGTTAAAGAAATTATAAGCAATAAGGATAAGAAAATTGAAGTAGCTCCTGTCTGTTCAGAGTCCTGACAAAATGGAAGAAGTAAAGAATAGGATGTTGCAGTCCCCATCGAAAGATGGAATCGCAATCAAACATGTCGTTTAGAAGTTCACAAAAAGTTTTGAAGAAGTTGCATCTTTATCCTTATCATGTCCTTAAAGAAAAGTTCTTGTTCTACTATCAGTGACATAGACCATTAATTGGCATCACTACAATCATATGAATATACAGTACTGAAAATATATGTGCTTCTGAAAAGTCCTATATATTTATCAAAAAATGGTACTGGGTATGCTTTGCTCATATTCCATTGATAATCTCAAAGCAAACATTGAAAAAATAAGTGTTTACACATTTAGACAAGTAGTATCTAACTTGGAAGAACATGTGCATTTGAGGAAAAAGTTCACATTTTGAATATATAATGTAACAATATTCAAAGTTTTGACTCAGAATATTTCCTTTTTTAATTTAGTTCATTTTTTAGTACCTTTGTAATAAAATATTTTTGCATGGATTGCACAATTTTTCAACTTTATATGTCAAAGTTAAATATATATTAATAGCTTATTGTATTTTAAAAAGATGATATAGAATATGAATTTAAGGTTTTTTTCCTTGAAATGAAAAGCATAAAAATAATTTAATACAAAGGAAACAAGTAATAAGATTTATTGTTTAAATAAATATATCAATTATATAGAGAAGGTATAGAAACCTATACACTTTGTAGTCTTTTTTTTTTTAAGAGAGTCTTTGCTTTCTAGATATAAACATTTTAGAAACAAGATATAATATAAAAACAATAAAGCACTTTTATGAAATTTTTTTTAATTATCTATGAAAAGAGAATTTTAAAAGTACAAATAGTTAATTAAGAATATATAAATTAAATTTTATGCAGACACAGTAAGTCATACAACTTAGAATTCACAAAGCAAAATGGATAATTATTAACCTCTTCAATTTTTAAGTAGCAATATTTTATTATACATGTAACAGATTGGTAAACGTCAAAAAAAAATTATTATTAATAATAATAATTTATACAAATTTCATTGATTGTTATTACATGAAGAAATTGACACAAATATTATGCATATACATTAGAGATAGGAAAAACAGTTAATTTTGGTCAATGGCATCAGCCATTAAGGTTTATTATGTTAATTTTAGTATATGCTGATTAGGTTATGTAAATGAATACAATTCAAATTACCATAATTTTGACTTTGAACACAGAATATGTTTATTGGAAGCCCTATCAAGAGAAATTTGTTATATTTTCTGTATATTGTTAAAAAATTATGTGCAGAAAATTCAGGCAACATGTTTCACACAATTAATGCATAGAATACATTAATGGGAAACGGGGCCAATGAGCAATGTTCAGTGAAAGAGAAAAAAAAAAACAGTCCATTTAAACTTAGCTTTTTTGCTCCTACCAGAATCAAGGAGCAGCTAAGATTTTTTTAGATAATTTTTTCATGATATAAAATCAATTATGTTAACTTTTAATTATTTCTAACTTAGTTGCTATGTTAACTTTTAATTTTTTTTGGGAGGAGGGGGGGCATCGTCAACGGAATCTTAATTATACCTATAGCTTTAGCTTTTTCGGTCTCTTGCTTTAATTGTTCTCAAGCAAGAGATGTTTTTCTTAAATTCTTTATTTTTCTTTTTTATTACTACTCTTCAAGTTAAGCAACTTCATTTTATGCAAATATTTTAACTACTTTAAGATGTTGAGGTTTTCGTGGTTCTTAAAATCACATAGGAACTCCGTAACAGGTATGACCGTTGCCCAAAATCAATTTTGGAATTCACCAAAATAGATCAGAACATTGAAACTGGCATAACTTTGCCAAAAATAAATTTATTTTCTAATTTACATTACTTGCTATTGTTATGGATATTAGAATTCAATCCTTGACATTTTTTGAAAATTTACTTAATGAAAAACATATTAGTTAATTTATTTGTAATAACATGAACAAATAAGTTAGTGAAAAATCATTGTAACACAAGAATTAAAAAGTAATTTTTAACACAAAAAGCAAATTTTCCTAATAAACAGGAAGTGTGATGTCACAGCTATTAATTTTTTCCTGCAAAATTAAAAAAAAAGATTAATTACAAGGTACTAGAAATTTTTAATCAGAAATAAAATTTGTTGTTGTTTCTTATCTCACTTGGCAGGCCAAGCCCACGAGCCCATACATACTCATGATTGAAGGGGAAGAAAGCAGCTTCTGTTGTGATGGAGCACCCCGAAGGTAGAAGTCTGACTTTGGCTCCGTGACGCTCCTACAGTCATGGGAGACCGGGACCTACGGCTTAAAGTGGATTCCGAAACACTACAAACATCCATGCCACGACCGGGATTCGAACCCTAAACCTGCGACACAGAGCGTTAGACACTAGGCCATTCAGGTCCCAAATTTGTGAATGCCAACGGCACGCGGTGTTCCCAGGTGGTCACCCACCCAAGTACTGACCACGCCCAATGATGCTTGACTTCGGTGATCTAACGAGAACCGGTATATTCAGCATGGTATGGCCATTGGACAGAAATAAAATTTAATTGGCAAATACCAATGCACTTGACAGTTATAAACTATTAATATTCAATTAAATACCATTAAAAACAGATATATTTTTTAAAATAAAGAAAACAATTTCATTAATTTAATTGGGGTTTTTAATTTCACCAGTTACAAAAACTGAAAGTTTATTGCACTAAATCATTATTGATTGAATTAGTTTTGAAATTTAAATTGAACTACTTTTAAGTATTCCATTTCTGATTCAATTCAGATGTGATCTTAAGAATTTCACCTATGAAGTGCTCTCATAGATTTGATTTTACTGCAATATGTTTTTAATCTTGGATAAAAAAAAAAAAATTCCATCATATTATGCATTTACTTGCTTTTAAGAAAAAACATTAAGACAGAGCAGTAATTTAATGAACTGTGAGAAAAATATGAAAATACTATGAATTCTAAAGAGAAATTGTAAAGAACAAAACTTTACGGCTTTGATGAAAGACAAAACTCGGGGGTGCATTCATTTTTATTTTTAATATATATATATATATATTAAAAATAAAAATGTTATAAGAAGAAAAACAATTTATGCAATATTTCTTAATATATTAAAAATAGAGATGATCCATAGACATATAACATATTTTATCTCACAAGTTTTTGTTGGAAAAAAAAAACTTAATAATATTGATCAATTAGAAATATAAAAAATCTGAAAAAAAATATTATTGCAATTTATTATATCTTTCTATAATTTTATCATGTAAATGCAATTAAAAATAATATACAAGAACTCTGACTAATGAATATATAAATATTAACCATCAAGAGATAGAAATGTTGAATATAACTGGAGTTGAGAAAGAATGCTTGAAGTTTCAAATATGCTTTGTCAAGTGAAATAAAACAATTGCAAGTATGAGGATTGAATTTAATAAATATTTGAATACACAATGCTATTAAGAATTCAATGAAATACTGCAAAATGATAATTTCAGATTTTGATAAATTATACATGTAAAACAATTTTTTCACTTTGATTAATTTTTTTTTTTTTTTGAATATAATTTAACCCACATCTTTTGCAGAAAGGTTTTTTAAAGAGAAAAAATACTCCAAATCTAGTACATCCAATTTATGTATTGTAGAAATCAGATAAAACTTGATTTATATTTAAATAGGACAAATTTTGAACTATAAAGTGTGAATTAAACTATATTTTTACACATTTTCAAAAAGTGAATTTATACAACATGATTTACATGAATTTCTAATTTTCAAAAATATACCTCCATTCAAAAATGAATTATTAATTATTTGTACTTTCGGACGCATCCAATCATCAATGATAATCTATGGTATTTTTAATGAAGAAATTATAAATGAAATTCATGATCTAGCATTTCTTTCAGTCTCCATTAAACACTCTCTCACAAGAATACGAGCATGCACAATTCCACGCTTAAGTCGTTCAGCTGAACTTCGACTTCCAGCATAAGTAGGACGAATATCTTTCCCCAGTTCTTCAATGATTGCTAGCAATTGAGAATATTTTGGTTTAGGTTGTTGGCGAGATGATCCTGCACTGCTCTGGGCTGCAGGATAACAAGATGTAGATGTAACAAGAGCAATGTCATCATTTTTGTCATTACGTGGTGTGCCTGGATTACTAGGTAGTGGTGTTCCAGGATTACTTTGAGCTGGGGAATCAATGGAATGATTATCTTCCTCCATTTTTGACTTATTCTGAAAAAATAAATAAATGGATTTGTTAAAAGTAAAGAAAAAATAAACTCGACTTAGTGGATAATACTACTTTACATACCATTTTTGCAAAGGTCTTTATTTCTGCGAACTGAAGATTCAACTCTTTCTAATACTAAAAATTAATGAGGAATTTTATAAAAAAATTAAATGGGAAGAACTACAAAGCATTTTATAATTTAAAATGGAACATAATAAATACAAATTGATATGCACTTTACTTTTCCCAGATTTCTAATCAAAGGAAATTTGCAAATAAAACTGTTTTTTACACAAATAGTTGAACTTAAATTTTTTTATACTTAAAATTAAAACTAATATGATAAAAAGCTCAGTATGAAGAATAAAAATTATCAAAGAAAAATTAGAATTATATTAAAACTTTAAAGAAATAATTAATAATTTACCTTCTTTAATAAATAAGAGTTTCGCAACTGATCCTCACGTAAATACAAGCATTTGCTCCACAATGCACAAAAACATTGTTTGTTGTGATTGACGATATCCTTCCCACAAGGTATAAATAATTAATAATGATTAAATCAATACTTTGTGCATTCAAAAGGAAAATTTCCTTTTTTTACCAAAATTATAATTTTTAAATCCTTTATATTAGAAAATGTCAGTTTTTTTTTAAAGAAATTTCATTATTAAGTATAATTTAAAAATAAGTTTTAACAACTTGAAGTATGGCATCACATAAAATGTTGAATGTTGATTTGATAATAAACATGTGCAGCCGGGAAGTTATTACAAAACGTGACTTATTAAAACATAAGTAGTATTTGAATTACACTATAATAAAGATATGTAAACTCTAATATTTTAAAACATTTAATTTCATATAATCATCCGAATCATGAAATCGAAATTGTAAGGAAATGGTTAATTTTGTTTCTTTCATGTTTTTTTTTCTTCTTTATTTACACATCTGTATTTCTATTAATAGATTTGTAAGCCAGTATATCCTAACTAGGCAAGTAGAAAAAAGCTTCGCTCATTATAAACAGACAGAAAATACTGTGATTTCTTCTTATACATGGGGAAAGTCAGCATAAAACGATCTTTTTTTTTTTTATTATATAATTTAGCTTAAATTTCAAAAAATGCATATAGTCTAAAGTTTTAGTATAGAATTTTACCTACTGGTTTAATTTCATTTTTCTTCTGAGATTTGAGTGTAGTTGTTAGAAAAGAATAAAAGAAATTCACTTACGTTTTCCTGAAGTAATTCATTTATTTTTATTTTGGATCTTAAGTTTGTAGAGTTTTGATGTTTTTTTATTATATTTCTCATGTCAATGTTCTTTATTTTAGTAAAAAAAAAAAAAAAAAAAAATATTAAAAATAAAAATTAAAAAAAAAAATTTTTTAAAAAAAATTTTTTAAATGGAAAAATTTTTTTTTTAATTTTTTAATTTGCTAATAGCACTTATTTGTGTGTGTTTTTCCCATGCATGAAAATTTTATATACAAAAAAAATTAATCCTTACATTTTCAAATCACTATTTCTGTCACATAAATATTTTCTATATATATATTTAATATGAATTATTGAATTGATTAATTTTTCAGAAATATTAATTTTTTTCATTTAATGATTTAATTTCTAATTAGTTTTGCAACACTTTAATACTAATGTAATTAGTGTTTAAGATTAAAATAATTTTAGCTTAAAGATTAAATGTAATCTGATATTGATAAAATCAGAGAAAATATTTGAGTTGTGGCTACTATTTATATTATATAATAAATTGTTTGATATTGAATAATTTTTTTATTAATAATAATTAAAACAGAATTATTTATTGAATAACATTTAAAACAAAATTTTTTACTTTATTAATTTCATTCTTTTTAATTTTAATATAGTTTTTAAATTCAAAGGATTTTATATATAACATTTCATGCTTTAACATACATTTTCAATAACTCATTAAAACTTCACTAAGGAATATATATCTGTGTGTGAGAGAGAGAGTAAAAACATTATTAGATAAATTTATTACAGAATTGTATTTGAAATAAATAATTTTTTTCAAGTGATTCTTGATAATTCAGTTTATTACTTTTAGTTTACTGTAGTTTTTCATTATCTAAATTTTATTATGTAAATATAATAAAGAAGACTAACTTTTTATCTCATCATGTTTACACAGTTAGAAATATTATATTTGTATAACTATAATTTTTTCTATTTTTAAAAAATTAATTTTTTTTTTTAAGTTCTTGTTTAGTATACAGCTAAACTGTTACATGCTGATTAGTAGCTTACAACATCGTTGTTTTTAATGAAAATAAAACAACTTAAATAAAAATAGTTTAAAATTGATAAATTTAAAACAAAAATTTAATAATTTGTCTTAAAATTAAGGAATCTTTATTCATAAAATTTTGGCAGCATACTTATTTAATTAATCATTGAAGACACTTCTACAATATTTTAAATCTTTTTTTGAAATTTTATGAAGACAAAATTATAAATAAATTTATGTATTATTTTTTTATTCATAATTTTTTCTTTGCAGATTTACTTTGGCATATCGACTGAGAACTCTTGGTTCTTATGGTAGTTTTGCATCTTTTAGTTTTCATGTGCATGTACCTGTTCAGAAATTAGAAGAAAAAAAATTTATCAATATGAAGGAATTCAATCATGATCTTACATGGTTAGCAGAGTATTGTCCAGAATTCAGTATTTCTAGTAAAAATATAAAAGTTTTAAAAGAACCATCTGATTTTTTTAATAAACTAAAGGTAATTACTACAACATGCTTATAATATTAGTAATGAAAACCTTTTTTTTTTTTTTTTTTTCTTTTTTCCTATATTGAATTGTTTTTGGTTATTTTATCTAAATAATGTAGAATATTTTTCCATTTAATCTACATATATTTTAAAAGTCAGAATTAGCTGAAATTCTTAACTACAATAGGCAAGTAATTAAGTAAATAATAATAAGTATAGTATAATAAATTAGTTAATTATTAAATTAATTAAATGTAATTACTTATTTTATTATTAACTACCTAAATTTTGAATTTTTAACCTTTTTTTTTTTTATTCTAAGGATTATGTTGCTTATAAAAGGAAATTTATGAACCTCTTTATCATTAAGATGTAGATGTCTTAAGATATTACATCTGATCATTGTACATGTTGGAACATAATGAAAAAACTTATTTTAGTGAAAGTTTGATATAATTGAAGGCATTAAAAGTACCTGAATATGTGATATAATGAGAACCATT